GTCTGATGTCCACACAGTTTTTCCAGTGACAATAGTAAATGTAAAGCTAATACACTATACTGTTGTTTTAACCAGCAAATTTTTGTGTCTAGTGGCCTGATGCTGTTTTTTCACTAGGTACATCAATACATAACATTGTTAACAATAGTAAAATAATAAAGACTTGAAAAAATCAAGATGTTTTCACTAATTTAATGTGTTACAGGTGATGTCTATAAATTAAAAAAAAAAAAAAAAATTTATTATACAGTGCAAGTCTTCTGAAATTGTGTTTAGTCTATTTCCCACAAAAACTTTTCCAAAGACCTTTTTATCAGCTTCCATCCAAGGTCTTCTCCTCGTATTACTCATTTCATACTGCTCATGGCCTAGATCCATGCTGAGAGGAGGAGGATGAGAAAAGAAAGTGATTATTTAATTCTAGGCTTTCGTGAGTCATCTCTGTGTATAGGCATCAACGTTCTAAGACGGTATCTTATACTGAAAGTATCATAACTGCCTCTTTAAAAAAAAAAAAAAATTTTATGGGCTGAAATTATCTTGTTTGAGGAGTTTGATGTTAACAAGGAGTCTGATGTTTGCTAAGCTAATGACTTGATACTCTAATATGCACAAAAACAGTGGTTAAAGTAATTTATTCGCAATTAAGTTAAACTATTTTCTGCATATACTATTTTGACTTCGCAATTTTATTGTTTTTTTTTTCCTACTGAGCTCACTACTAAGACTAGCATCGCTATTAACATTGCTTCTACTTAGACAATTTTCAAATCTTAACTGATTTTAAAACTGTGACAGTTTTTTTTTGCTAGATGATTCGCCAGGCCATGAGGCCATACACCTGCTGACTGTAGTAATGAATTCGCAGTGGTAATTCCACAGACACGAGATCTCACAGAAACTTGCATGATCAAATGTAAAGTATCATAACTGCCTCTTTAAAAAAAAAAAAAAATTTTATGGGCTGAAATTATCTTGTTTGAGGAGTTTGATGTTAACAAGGAGTCTGATGTTTGCTAAGCTAATGACTTGATACTCTAATATGCACAAAAACAGTGGTTAAAGTAATTTATTCGCAATTAAGTTAAACTATTTTCTGCATATACTATTTTGACTTCGCAATTTTATTGTTTTTTTTTTCCTACTGAGCTCACTACTAAGACTAGCATCGCTATTAACATTGCTTCTACTTAGACAATTTTCAAATCTTAACTGATTTTAAAACTGTGACAGTTTTTTTTTGCTAGATGATTCGCCAGGCCATGAGGCCATACACCTGCTGACTGTAGTAATGAATTCGCAGTGGTAATTCCACAGACACGAGATCTCACAGAAACTTGCATGATCAAATGTGACTTCAGAAGAAACACAAATATGGAGGATGATCGACGTCATCAGCTGGCTCTCCTGGTGTTTGTACTGTTTTGCAAATACTTTCGTGAAGTTTCAGCTGCCAGGTTTCGCAATATCCGGTGATGAAGCTTGCACGATCTCATTGGTAAATGACCCTTCGCAGGGAGTTTGATTGACAGGCGATCTGACCAATCATAACGCCGAATCTGCCATTTTTGTCCAACAAACAAACCAGGGGCCGTATTTATCAAGCTTCTCAAAGTGCCATTTTAGTCTTAAGTGCTGAGAATTCATTAAATTTTCTCCTACTTTCAAACTTAAGTTTGCAAGTTATCACATTTCTTAAAGCTAAGAATCACTCTTACTCTCCCAGTTATTTAAGACCGCTCGAGAGGTCTCTCAAGTGGTTAGGAGTTACCAGTAGGGGTTTGTGATGGCGCTGAGGAGACAGAGGTGCGCGCATCTTTCAGGAGAGGAAGAATGTTCTTGAAATGTTTGACGACGAGCAGTTAATCAAACAGTTACATTTCCTCAGTTATTCAAACAGAAAACGAGCAAAGAATATTTACATTACCAAAGAACATCATAACTGACTTCAGTCTAGCGCGAGTATTATATGCTCTTTAAAAACACTCCCGTTATAATCAGTGAAGCTATCTACACTGTATCATGAATAAATCTCACCCCTTATTTACACTGCACACGTCTGCAGCGCGTTACGGCTCCAACACGGCCACCAGGTCTGATCATGGCTACTCACCACCCGCGCCGCAACAAGTTGCTGAAGCGGCTCTCCGTGCTGCATCACTAAAGATAGGCGCCTATATTTTTGATGGATAATAATAATAATAATCTTCTTGTTGTCGTCAAAGAAATCAGCAACAGGCAATATCTCTGACTATCGTCGATACACGATACTACCCTAAATTGAAGGTTGTGATGACGATTCGTTTCCTTATCATAATGTATTCTCTTGAAAATTCTTTATTGTCAGATGCGTGTTGAATGTAAACTCCTATTTGGAATTTAACCATTCAGTGTGAATTTATCTGCAAATATTCTTAAATAAGGATATCTATTCAGTGATTGGTCCATGCATATTTTGTCATCCAAAATCCCGTTTGTGGTACAGCAAAGTGACGTGAATCATCTCTAAGACTGACCCTTAAGATTTAGTCCTACACTTCGCTTAAATTACGAATGAGATGCTTGATAACTAACTTTTAAGCGCAGCTTTGAGCCAATAATTTTTTTTACACTTAAAGGGATAGTTCACCCAAAAATGAAAAATTCTGTCATCATTTACTCAACCTCATGTCGTTAAACCTGTATGAGTTGCTTTCTTATGTTGAACATAAAAGAAGATATTTTGAAGATTGCTGGTAATCAAACAGTTGGTGGTTGCCATTGACTTCCATAGTATTTTTTTAGATTGATTACCAGCAATCTTCAAAATATCTTCTTTTATGTTCAACATAAGAAAGCAACTCATACAGGTTTGGAACGACATGAGGGTGAGTAAATGATGACAGAATTTTCATTTTTGGGTGAACTATCCCTTTAAGTCAATTCTTAGCAGCATTCTTGAGAGTAATTCTCAGAGGCTTGACAAATACGGGCCCAGACCGGAGAGTAGATTAACGTTGGTGGACTTGAAATGGTGTGAATTGACAATTTTCTGCGGTTGAAACTTGAAAGATATCTTCTAATGTTCATTCATGTTTATTTCACACTATAACTAGTAAAGAAGTGATGATCGGTTCATGTGCTGCTTGAGCTACAGCGATCTGTCACGACACAAATTAAAGAGCCACAAAAAGGTATTTATTGTTTGATTTTTTAATCTTTTTTTTAAAGACAATTTGATACTTTGTTTCATACCTAAAGTAATCTGCTCTGTCTTGTCTGTCAGTGCGTTGTCAGTTTCCTCTTTGCTCCGCGATGTATTTTTCTCTACTTGAGAACATGATGTGTGGCGTGAGAGTGCCATGGCTTGTCAGACATAGCAACAGTAATGAAGGAGGGGCGGGTCTTTGTGAGGGGTCAATTGTGGGTCCCCCATCAGAGGCAGCCCAATCAAGAGTCGGAAATATCAAAAATGTTTGATATGTATGGTTTGGGATAGGGTAGCCTCCGACTCAATAGTGAGAAGCCGTAAAATACTTGTAATGTTGTAAGATTTAACCAATTAGTCACCACCTAGCAACACCCGAACGACCTCCCATAACACCCACAACAGTGCAGATATGAGTTTTGCTGCTCTTGGTTGAGCCAGTAGGCCTTTTTGTGTGGAGTTTGCATGGTCTCCCCGTGTTGGTGTGGGTATTCTCTGGGTGCTCTGGTTTCTCCCACAGTCAAAAGACTTTGCAGGATAGGTGAATTGAAAAGACTAAATTGCTGGTGTGAATGTGCGTGTGGACCAGCCATCCATCCAGGGTGTTTCCCTGCCTATTGCCCGAATCGGTATAGGCTCCAGCATCCCCGAGACCCTACTTATGATAAGCGGTTTGGAGATTGGAAGGATAGACGGAAGGTTTTGCTATCTACAATTGGAACAGCCAGCGATGCCTAAAACTACTGCCTGGGTGGGCAGCTCACTAGGTTTTGAAACAGAGCTATGGTTGAGGGATGAGCATTGAACGCACTACCATACAGTATGATGCCCTACAGCGTCCAAGAGATGTGCTAGACCTGTCACTCGACATCTCAGTTTACATTTCGAAAACACACGCTCATGTTGCAGATGGAAGCAGAGGAAGTTGGCTCTTCTGTGAGACACTTATGCAACACCATGACTAATCTGAGGCGCCATCATTGAGGGGAAAGCCTCAAAATACACAGAACACCAAATTACAGAAATAGGACTACAAACCTCTCAGAAAACATCTCTAACACGATTACAGCAAATAATTCTTCCGTAAACCATCTGTGAAATGAAAAGGTACCAGACTGAAGCTACAGTGTCTGGTGTTAACAGGATGGTAAAGTGCATTAAAGCATCATTTGGCTGCAAGGGCTGAGGCCTTCCTGTATTTCTTAGGAACATCAGCGCAGTTTAACCAGGCGAATGAGATAATGGCGAGACAGAACATTAAACAAGCTCTTTCTGCTTTGCTGCATTATGGAAGATAAAGAGGTAGTTGACATAAAAAGGTCAGACTCTAAAAGAGATAGAGAAAACTGATTTAAAGGAACTGCATCTACCTTCTAAGGGGCTGTTTGCACACAGCACATTTTTGCATTCCACTGTGCTACTATTCCATTGTTTTTATGCCTTTATTTTACTGCCTGATCTAAAAATGATGCAGTTGGCAACATCAGCCCTCATGGTTTTCGTTCGACATTGTGGTATAGAATATAGATCAGTGTTGGCTCAGCAGAGGGCCACTTTGAGGGCCTAAAATAAGACATCAAGTCCAAAGTCACTGTTACCTTAGATGGCAGCATAATGTTGTTGGAAGCAAACCTACAGTATGATACCTTAAAATGTAGCTCACTAGGTTTTGAAACCAACCTTCTATAACACATGTATTACATAACTAACTGTAGTACACTAACATACAGATGTTCTTAAATGAGTTATTCATACTTCATGCTTACTCAATAGAAAGTTGTCAAATGTAATGCGAGTGTGTGTAATTACTTACAGGGTCTCTTTGCTCGTCATTGTCTCGTATTGAAGGTCGAGGTCTCAGCAGCATGTCATCACTACATTCAGTGTCCGACCCCGTGGGGGACTCGGGTAAATCCAGGAAGTCATCTCGCTTTGGACCACGGAATCTTATTTTGTCCAGCCGCTTTAGCATGTTCAACACAGCTGCTTTAGGCTTTACCTTAACATTGTGTATGGCAGCCCTGCAGGGTCAACAGAGTACAAAAAGTATCAAGTATAAAAGTAACACATTTACAGAAACCTTTAAAAAATAAAAACAAACTGTTATATTTTAAAGAGGACACAGGTGTTACACTGCTGGAGAAATTTCACTTGCACATAATGAAGATGCAAAGTGGCTTTATTACAGTAAGCCAATAGTACTGACAGACTGATATATATCATCCTGTCAATTTAATTAGCCAATTTTTGGCTCATTTGAGATTACTGGCATTGGCTGATGCTCATGTCAACTCGGTCGGCTGAAAAAATTGTTGGTAAATATCGTGTATATGTCTCAGCAAAGTTGTTTTCATTAAATCATATTAAATATAAATAATGTCTAATAATAATTAAAAAATCATGTACTATGAAAAAATATGCTGTATCACTTTACTTAAAGCCTTTATGTATAATGCATTATAAAGGGTTATTAAAGGGTATAATGCATTATTCATAATGTGCATTGTAACACATTATATCTTGTCATAAATAATTATAACAGAATTTAAAATGCACAGTGTAACAATGAATTGATAAGTGTTATAATGTATTATTAATGTACAATTATTCATATTATGTACATGTACAATGCATTATGTGGTGCATTACATTAAAACTACTTTTATAATGCATTATACATACATAGAACTGCATTTTTCTTAAGATGTTGACTATAATATTAATCAGTTAATAAATTAATACAACTAAATGTATATAAAACATTTTTAAAAATTCACATGTATGATTTTAAGAAAAAGTAAACATTATAATGTCATACAAACATTTTAAAACCAATAAAAAAATTATAAAAAGTAAAGATAAAACTAACATATTTAAAACCTTACACAACCATGACAATAACCATGTTTTTTTGTTTTTTTCAACAGCAATGTTTTATTTACTTAATACTAATAAGCTGATTTACATAATTACACACTAATGGATGATAGAAAGCCACAAAATGTATTTTGATTTCATTAATTACACGACTTGATTAAATGTGAACCCTTTCTCTGAAATAAGTTATTACATTTTACCCAGAAGTCACCTCTCTGACGCATGCTCATATCCTCAGGACTTTCACAAAAACACGTGAATGAATATTCTCAGTAGTCTCTAGGGCTGACCTTTAAAAACGAAAGGGCATTCATTAGCTCTTCTGTTCTGAAGACGAACGCCAAAAGACCATCTCAAATCGCAGCAGGTTGTGAATGGATTTCAGGTGCTTTTCCTGCCTCGAGCAAGACTCACTGACCAAAGTTTTTCAAAATACTGAGGAAATCCCAGTGGAAATGTAGTGCCATGTGTGGATTTCCCACACAACTTGGGCATGTCACTACCTCTTTGAGTTTTGTTCATTTGTAGTTTATGGAACCACTGCATAATTACTCATTTTTGCAACTACGTTAAAAAAGCTATGTGCAATCAAATGTTTACAGGCCCAGCAAATCCACCTGAATCCAGATGAACTCGACTTGAATGTTAATATAAATGAATTAATACTGTCCATGGGATGGGAGCAAGAAAGTTAAAAAGGTTTGAAACGTGAATATGAGGGTCAGCATTTTAACACTTTTTTTTTTTGCTCTACCACATATAATTTAGTAAGTTAAAATGACAAAATAAACAGGTAAGAACAAAAAGGTTTTATGTCGAGGAAATAATGGCGCAGATTGTAGATGCAGACAACAAAACGACGGGGTCATGAGCTTCAACTGTAACCGTCTCTCTCTGAAATTACATTACAGAACAGGGACTGCCTTGAGAGCTCTCAGTGCTTATTATTATGAAATTATATTTGGCTATTATTGTGATTCTGCATGCTGTGAGAGCAGCAGAAGTCTCTAGTCAAGTACACAAGGTGGAACTAAATGTGTCCACCCACATAACCCAGCGATATCTATACTGCCCACATCTCTACACAAATATTCACCACCAAGGCCTTCTGATTCACTTCTAACTGAACACCATTGAGAGCACTGGAGGAATGCTATGACTTACTACAGCAAACAACGACAAGGACATTCATATCTGCGAGAGAGAAATGAAATTCAGTTCATTCAAGATCAAATCTATGCTACATAATACACAAAAACACAAAATGTACTTCTTTATTTGTGCATGAGTCATACTCAGAGTTCAACACTACAGGTGCTGCCTACATAAACTCTCTCAGTACAGGAATACTGTGTTTTACTGATCAAAGAAATGGTTTGCATGAGAAAACAGCTTAATCTGAAACCACTAAATCGGAAATAATCAGTTGTCAAATGGATAAATTAATCAATAAATCAATGAAACAACAGATCAATAAATCCACGTGTCAGTGATTCAACTGATTTGAAATACTTAGTTGATTTCCAAATGGACAAATGAATAAGTGACTAATAGGTCAATTAGTTAATAAATCCATTGATTAATTAATCACAAGATTAAATCATCAATGACACAAACACAACTGATCAATGAAACAATGGATCAATAATTCAGTTTCCAATGTTTCAGTTGATTTCACAATGGTTTAATTAGTGACTCAATAGGGCAATGAATTAATAAATCCATGGATTAATGAACCAAATATGAAACAACAGAATAATGATTTGATTGATTGATCAATGATTCCATTATTTTAATATTTTAATTGATTTCACAATGGATAAATGAACCAGTGATTCAGTAGGCCAATGAATATGTGGATCAATTAATCAAAATATTAATGAATCAATGACTTAGCCGATCAATTAACAGATTCAATTCTTTTTCAGTGATTCGGTTTATTTCAGAATGAATAAATGAATCAGTGACTCAATAGGTAAATAATTAAATGAATCCATGGATCAGTTAATCAAAGATTCTTTGGTCAATGATTTAACAGATCAATAAATCAATGGATCAATGATTGAATTTATTTCACAATAAATGATGAATTGGTGATTCAGTAGGTCAATAAATCATTGAATCCATAGATCCAATAATCAAAATAATAATTAATCAATAACTCTGCAGATCAATTAAATAAAATATCAATGAATCGATGGATCAATTATTCAACTGATTTCAATAATTCAGCTGATTTTACAATGATACATGAATCAGTGACTCAGTAGATCAATGAATCAACTGAGCAAAGGAAACAGTAAATCAATAAATCCACTGATCAGTGAGTCAATCGATCTTGCCTTCACAGAACAACGAATAGATGGCTGAGTTCAGATCAATTGATCAGTGAACGAGTCAATGAATCAATAGATAAATTAACCAATGAATAACTTCCTTTCAGAATCACGCGACGATCCGCGTTCATCATCGCAACATCAATAACACATGTATTCACTCTCACTCCATCACATGCATGTGTTCTGTAGGCCGTCTGCGTGTTGTGTGGCTACAATGTATTCAGTCCGATGTTCTACAGAATGATACATTTTGTTCCGAAGATTCTGAATGACAGAATAACGGTCACGTTCCAGGAACGCATTTAAATGGCACGTTAAACAAAGCGATGACACATTCGATTATGACGTATACATCCTTAGCTATTTAAATCTGCGGGTCTTAAGTGCGACACTGACACTGATATGAACAGTTTCATTTTAAAGATCGTTACTCCGAATAGAAACGCTTTCATCTATGAATCATGACAGTCCTCCTGTACACACATACTGTAAATCGCCTGTTGCCCTCTTGGATATTACTAAAGGACACATGTTAAAGATCCGCTTACCCAGCTCGCAAATCGTAGCAAAGTTTCATGAACCCTGCTGATAGTCTGTGATAGATCCTTCAGTAACTCCTGCTGGAAAACTGCTGGAAATATACACCACCAGATCCCTCTTCCCCTCTGCTGTCTAAAGAGCTGTGCGATGTCCCTAGAGCCTTGATTATGTCTGAGTTAATGTAAACCCCCCCAGAGAACACGGATCTGCGTGTCTTGTTGATGTCACCGAACTCACACACACAGCAGACGGGCAGACCTCCTAAACGCGTCCGCTGAGCTCTTAAAGGGGTCATATGATGCGATTTCAAGTTTTCCTTTCTCTTTGGAGTGTTACAAGCTGATTGTGCATAGATACGATCCCTGAAGTTGCAAAGACTAAAGTCTCAAAACCAAAGAGATATTCTTTATCAAAGTTAAGACTCTGCCACGCCCCCCTAAAACGACTCTTTCTAACACGCCCCCACATATCTATGTCACTATGTGGAAATATTTGCGTAATGCCGCCCAAATGTTCAT